AAAAAAACACACCACACTCTCTCACACATACGCACACACACACACACACACACACACACCCCCCTGGAAGCTCTGATGGCCGTGCTCACCAGTTTCAGCGGGGGCTCCCTCCCAGTCAGCTTGGCCTGGTTTCACTCGGACTGAGAGAGGATAGCGAGGCCAGCGGCGGCACGTCACAGATCCTAATGGCTAACTAATACTTCCCTGAGCTGAGTACAGAGAGAGAGAAATCGTCTGAACTCTTCAAAGCTCGTCCTCTTTTCATTTAAGACTGCTCACTGTTAACGCTCCATCCTTCAGAAACGGCCTCCGAGCTCGTTTAGGGGGCGTGGTCAGGCAACGCTCAGAGTATCACGCTGATGGAAGGAGCGGAAAAACTTTATGTCAGATTTAAAAAAACCTAAGGTGAACTTTTTCAAATTTGAATATACCTTGACATCAATTAAAGATCCAATGAATGAAAGGATAAAGTGACCTCACGCTATCATCAGACCTTCAAGACAGGGTTGGTCATTTTATCCAGATCCACTTTTTAAGATTTGGGTTGAAATTGTCTTTAGGTCCTGACAGAAATTAATAACTCATGTTCTCTGAAAAGAGACGGAGCACTGAGGGAATGCTACTTTCAAAATCATGCTAGTTTTTAGGAAGTGACCAACCCTGCCTTTAAACATGCTATGTTGAAGTGCTGGTTTCTCTGAAAACAATGCAGCATCCTGTATGTCCTCCTTCTAAGTTTTGATTCCGGTCCTGGTGACCTACTTTTGTTTTGAATGATTTTCTACGTGATGCAAGAATCCGACCTTCTGCTCACGTGAAGCCGAGTGCAAAGACTTGAAGTGGAGGACTGGAGGGGGGGGTGTGAAGGATGCTCAGTGATGGCGGGTCAGGAGGACTAGAGGACTAGATGAATAAATAGGATGATATGAAGGGGATTTGTGGTTGGAGAGGCTTAACCTGAGCTGACATGTCTGCAGCGCTGCGTTGATAGAAGTGGAGGTTAAACTGAAACGTAGTTCCATTGTTTCCAGAGATGAGGTGAAGCATTCAGTAATCTCTGTCTCCTCTCCTCTCCTCTGGGAAGGTTCAGGTCGGATTATTTCAGATTAAAATTGGTATTAAGATTAAATTAAATTTAGAGGACGGGCAGAACAGACCTGTGAACTCACACGCGGTGATCGGTGATGATCAACCTCAATTGTTTTGATGATCGGAAATGATCCCATTATGGCTCGTCTAAACATCTCAAACAATGTGTAACTCTAATTAATTGCACTCTGAGGTCACACTGATCGTACAGTCCACAGCAGCGTTGTGAAGTTGATTTATTGATTTTAACACAACAGAGTTTCATGACCTTTTTCTTCAATCAACCCAAGGGAGCGACACCATCCACCACTCGTATTATAGGTAGCCTACTAATGGAGAATGATGTCTGATAAAAAGTTGAAAATGCCGCTGGCGTTGTCAGCCCTCTGTCTTTTAGTGGAAAAAGAAAAGAAGAGGCGGAGGAGACAAATAAGGAGAAACCACACTAATGGGTGAAAGCATGGATAATACAGCGGCTTTTCTGAACCTGTGTCGAGAGCTGGAGAGAAATGAAACCTCCCAACAGCCAATCAGAGAGAGTCCTCTCACCGACCACGCCGACCGACGCTGGACACACCGCAAAAACTAGGGCGACGATCGCTCTCCGATGTCCAACACTCTCCTTGGAGTGTCATGGCCTTTACTCTGAGCACGTTTAAAAAAAAAAAGCTAGTTTCCATCGCTTCATTACGTCATTGACAAGAAGCTTCCTCCACTCGCCAAAAACAAAACTTTCAGCTTTTCATTACAAATTGGGGGTCTCGAGGGGAAAAGGGTTGGGGACCACTGGTCTAAACAGTCAGAGGAGAGAAAGTGGGAAATGTTCCTTTAATCCCAGTGTGCATGTTAGCAGACTGAAGACAGCACTCAGCGAGTACATTCCCACAAAGCTCTTTGTTTCCTGCTTGTGTTTCTGCTGTTTCCTTTTTCTCTCGTTGCTCAGCAACTTTCTCCTTTTCACACCTTCGCCCTCTCCGCCTTTCACGTAAAAAGTGCTCATAAAATCCATCTCTTCACCCTCCTCCCTCTCCTTCACCTCCCATTTTCTCCTCTCTGTGCCCTCCAGTTGTTGCTACACTCCTCCTCGGCCCCCTCCTCACCCCCCCTGTCTAGTTGTTAACCCCCCCCACACACTTCCTTTTTTTTACCCGCTTTGCTCGCCCTCTCCTCTTCTTCCTCTCCTCCTCCTCCTCCTCGTCTTTCTCTCAGTGTTGAACAGAGGCTTCAGTGTGTGTTGATGGGGTGAGTGGCAGCAGGAGAGGAGGGGGTGTGAGGACTGAAAGGAGGGGAGGAGAGGAGCAAAAAGCGGCAACAAAAGACTCGCTTAGAGGTGTGTGTGTCTGTGTGTGTGTGTTTGGGTGTGTGTGAGCATGACATCATGGTCCTCCTGGGAGCTTTTGGCTGCAGCGTAGTCGCCTGTTTTATTTTGGTGTGTGACCCTGAGACTGATCCACATTTTCTGTCTCCTAAGGCGGCATTTGGAAAACTCTTTCTATAATGAAAAATGAAAAAAAAACAGGTCAGAAATATACTTGGGCGGCCGGCCCAGGTATCGTCTATGTGTGGAAAGCACTGTTAAGCCGGCCGACGACATCTTCACAACGGGCTTGCCAGCTGTCAGGCTTACGTGCAAGCATACTTGAGGGTCCGGCCCCCGCAGTGTCTGTCAATAAAAAAGCTGGCCCTTGTACAGATGTAGTAGATTTTGGGTTTCTCCTCAAGGATTATGAAGATCAGGGTCACAGATTTTATGCAAACGATGGTGGTGACTCGTTCAGAAAAACTTCCCGTTCTAATGTCGTCGTTGAAACTCGTGCAAACCCCACGAAGTGATGACACGCAGAGTGAGTACAGGCTTAATTAAAAGTAGTGCCCCTGCAGTTCTCTGAGTGACCTCTATGTGTGTGAGTCCCTCCATTGGATGAAAACAGAAAGAAATGAAGAAGGTTGAAGAAGTTGCCCTAAAAGCAGCTCATCCACAGCTGCAGAATGCACGTAAGCAGATGTTAAATTTAAATTCCCCTCAAGTGTTTGCGCTGGGGTTTGAACCCACAGGAATGTCAGTAAACTGGAGCTGTTTACTGGTTTCAGTGGTTTGTTCTCAGAATGGAGCCAGGCGGACCATTCAGGGCTCAGCTGAGTGCTGGTCTCAGCGATCCCCCGGGTGTGTGCGTGAGAATGTGGGGGGTTGTAGTGAGGAATGCTAGATCTGACGCACGCACACACACACACACACACACACACACACACACACACACACACACACACACACACACACACACACACACACACACACACACACACACAGACTTTCTCTCTTTCTCCGTCTGGCACTTCTGTTTTTGTCCTCGTAAACTTGCTCCATCCTAAAGCAGCAGAATTTATAGAGTTTAAAGCTTGAAATGTGTTAAATGGACTGTGTGTGTGTGTATGTGTATGTTTGTGTGTGTGTGTGTTTGTGTGTATGGGGCACACAGCCAGCCCTCTCTGTGAACAGCCTCTCTTTGTGGACACAGGAAGTACGGTGATGGTCACAGGGATTTCCATGCAGAACACAAACTTCTCCACACTCGCTGTACGCTTGTTTTCACGTCTTCTTGGTACAGAAATGGGTAAAGCGAGGAGATCGGAGAGAAGGGTGTGTGAAGGAGGAAGTATTTAGAGTACTTTTATGTAAGAGCGTGCTGATGTGGTCTCCTGGAAACCGTCAGACTCAGCTGGACTCTCAGTCTGAGCAGCAGACTTCTAGTTTCAAAGATCAGCAACATTTTTATAATTCATATTTTAAAGAGGTCTGATGTGATGCAGGTTGTGACGTCTCTCAGATCTGGATGTGCTGCAAGAAACATAGACACAGTCACCACCACACATGTATGGAGACCCAGAAGGGACGATGGAGCCGCTTTCTGCAGTCGTTAACGTTCTGTATCATCCTCTAAAAAAACGTATCATGTTCCTTCTCCTGAGCTTAGAGAAACATCTCTGTCGCCAGCCTTTTTCATAAATATGTTCAAGCTCATCTTAAGGGGATTTTATCATTTATTTAGTTTAATAACTTGGAGAATTTTCCAAACGTATGAAGGGAAACTAAATCCTGCAGTTTTGAAACATGCTGAATCACCGTATTTGGAGATGCATGTTTGACAGGATGAGTTGGCTGTCAGTGAAGGAAAAAGGTCAAAGAGTGAAATACCTTGAATTTAAACTTAATGGAGCAATATATAACGCTGACCCCGAGTGTTTAAATGGGTACTGCAGTCCAAATTCTAAACATCTGCTCTCATATCTGGCAAACTGAGGGGCGTCCAAAACGGCCGTGTGGGGGTGCCTTAAAACCGCCTACCTTCTCTGGTCCAAACAAATCCAGAGCATTCAGGACCAGAATCTAAAGTTAGAAGGATGACATACTGACTGCTGCATTGTTGTCAGAGAAGCCAGCACTTCAACATAGCATGTTTCCTTAATGTCTGATCATATAGTGAGGTACCTTTATCATTTCACTCACTACACATCTCACTGATTGATCCTTTAAGTGCTGTAGCTGAGTAAAGTGCACAAGAACTGTGTTCTGTTCTGTAATGATTATTTACCTCCTCAATTCAAAAACAGACTTTAGAATACATGATTCACTATGTCAACACTGTCTGTAGTCCTGATGTCGTGTGTGTGTGTGTGTGTGTGTGTGTGTGTGTGGTGCGCGCTTTCCTCTCTCCAGTAGACAATGGAACAGTGATGTTAAAGTCATTATTCAGGAAGGAAAAGGAAACTTTCCCAGACAGACTCTCTGACGAGGTTCATGTCAGACAAATCTGAAAACACGTCGTCATTGCACAGTTTCGCTGTTTGGAGGAAGAAAGAATTAAAAGTTTGGAAAGTGTGTTAAAGTCTTTACTCTTTATCCCTCCCTGCAG